TAAACTGGAAAATAACGTTAGCAAACTTCACGAAGATTTCTCTGAAAATCCCCTGCTCCAGTTATAAACCTTTCTACAGTATTTGTTGTGGCTGAGTTTTCTTTAAAAGTAGTTTCTTTCATGTTTGGTATTCCCATCCTTTACCTGTTCTGTTTGAAGATCAGGTGACTGATCAGGCCCAGCTCTGTGACCACTGCTGCAGTTTTGCTTTCTTCCCATTTCGGAAAGGCAACTGTGAATAGCTTTTTTAGACCTTTTTTTTCTTTTTTCTAATTTGACCTGTTCAAATGCACAACATGTCATAGATTTTTGAACAGTAGGACAGAAGTAAAAAGTGCAGGACTGTCCCCAACAAATCGGGTCATCTGGTCACCATAAGAGTGCGGGACTACTAGTCCCCTTTACTATGTCATACATGGCTAATATGGTTTTCCCTCTATTTACAAAATGTGGATTAAATACATACGAGCCATAACTTTTTAAAAGTCCTCAAGAAACAAAACTGCAGGGGTGATTAGTAATGGAAGCAATAGGAAATAATTGAGCAGGACACTGGAGTTAGGATACTTGCCATTGAAGAGAAAGAGCAATTTTACTACATTTAAAAACACAGCCCTCTATTAGTCCTGCTAATTATATAAATTGACTGGTAAAACCTGCAGCAAACTTTTCAAAAATAAACATTAATTCTTTGAAATGATGCATCTAAGCTTTTTTGTCTTTAAATTCTGTGTTCACCTGTGCGGTCTCCAACTTCAACTTGTCAATAGCCAGAGCCTGGCGCTGCAGCCCACTTGCACAGACAGAAAGCAGCTGTTTGAGACTCTTGATGTCATCTTGGACTTTTGCAATAGTCTTTGAAGACATCCTGCTTATGTCTTCTTGAACCTGTTTCTGTTCTTTAACAAATTTTCTGTAAAAGCAGATAAATGGCTGAAATTTAGAAATCCATTTTGTAGATTACAAAATCAATTATGCACATAACAAATAAACCGGCTCAAAATTGTACCGTATATGTATGTTTCAACTACTTACTGAAAACTGTCAACATCTTGGCAAATAAAGGGGGGCAGATTCTCATCTTTTAAAGCCTTGCTGTCCCTGAAAGTGAGAAGAATTTTTTCATTAAGATTGTTAAGGTGAAAAATGCCATCAAACTGCCTCCCATTATTAAGCAATGTGTTACAATGAAGCACAGATGATATTAAACATTGAGTAAGCGCATTAGTTCAGCAGGACATACTGTGCATTGGTTCCAGATGAGGGGTCACTTTTATTCTCAGAGGACGTGCTGAAGTCAACTCCACCCAGACCAATACTCGGTGCAGGAGCAACTGAAGCTGCTGTGGAGGTAGCCAACAGCGAGCCCAAGGTTAACCCAGCTCCTCCTCCCAGCGTGGTCTGACCCAAACCTGTGACACAATATAAATTAAAAACTTTAAACATTTTGCTTTACACCACTTTATTAAGATTTATGTCCATCAGTATGCTGTCTAAACTAACAATAACAGCATTTTTCTAGCTCTTCTAAGTACATCTCTATTTTTTAGCACACCTGTAGTTCCAGTGCTGGAGAAGAGACTGGCGCCTAGTGATGGTGCAGTTGATGCAGCAGAGGAAGCTGCGCCACCAAGGCTGAGTGTGAACCCTGTGGCTGCAGGCTGCTGCGGAGCCGTGGATGTCAGGTTGGAGCCAAAATTTAAGCCTGTCCCAGCAGTTGAGGAGGTGGTAGTTGTGGTGAGAGAAAAAGGTGTTGCTGATGCAGTGGGTTTGTTGAAGGCCAAACTAAAACCTGTGGTTGCAGATGTAGTAGCTGGTGCACCTGGGGGAAAAAAATTAAAATATATGTGAAGAGAGGGGAATACAAACTTAATTTAAATGTTTAAAACAAGTAGTTTAAGGTATCTTAAATGAAAAAAATAGTAAACATACCTAATGTAAGACCAGTGCTGGGTGCAGAGGAAGCTAATGAAGACAAAACAGATTACTTCAAAAAACAATGTCTACAAATTTGTGTCATTATTTGACATAAAGCTTACTTGAGGCAGGGGTGTTGAAGGAGAAGCCCCCAGCAGGTTTCTGAGCAAAGAGAGAGCCTCCCAGACCAAGGGATTGGGTGGTACTTGCAGTGGAAGCCGGGGTTCCTGCTGCTGCTCCCACTGGAGTCCCAAAAGAAAGGCCACCAGTGCTGGCCGCAGGTGTACTTAAAAAGCAAAAAGAAATGTTGTAGATTTAGTCCATAACCTTCTCCCCTTAAATATGCTGAAACAACATCTGTCATATTGACAGTATTAATCCTTTATAGGGCAAGGTAGCATTTTTGATCACTTGCATACTCCTTACAAATGGAGTTCCTCAGAGAGGTCTAGAAACACAAGATCTATATCCAGCCATTCAGCAAAGATACTGCTACATGGATGTACATTTTATTTGACATTTGGCCAATTAGACGAGGCCTTTAATGATATATTACCTACTGTAAATAAGTTGAAAAAAGTTGACAAGTAAAGAAAAAAAAAAGGTAAAAAGCTCAATGAAAAGTAAAAAAATTAAAAAGCCTAATTAATACTTATATATTCGGGAAAATTTGAGTTTGTTATCCATTGACATTATTTTTTTTGGCATCAAAATATCCATATTTTTTAATGTTCCAAAGGTAATAAGGTCTTGTCCTGGATTCCAATAACAGCTTGAAATTTTGATTTTCAAAGTATTTCACCGAGTGCGCTATAAAGGGTTAAAACGCTTCAGACTACAGATTACAGCAATTTTAAACCGTAAACCAAGGAAGTTGATGGCAACATTTACTCTGCAAGTTGCCATGTTCACCCTTTATTACAGACATCAATTTAATGTAGTAAATGACAGTTATTTAAAACCTAAAAATAACACATGATAAGAAAATAACATATCTAATAACGTGACTCATGACAACCACACCTCCACTGCAAACATAGCAGTTTAAAAAAGTAAACGCAGTTTCAACAGGATAAAAATTAAACAATGCTAACATTAGCTAAGTCGGCTAAGTAAATGTCTGCTTTACCTTGTGACTCCTCCGAATGAGAATCCTCCACCAGTGTTGCTGGAGCCAAGGGTGCCAAAGTTAAACCCAGACATTTTGTTCAAAAGGGGTCAACAATTTACATCAATAGCCTCTAAGTACGGAGCCCGACTGTTAGCAGTTAGCAACTGTCAGTTAGCCTTCATGTCCGCGTGAAAGCAAATTAAGCAGTTTAGTCTTTGCTCAAAACATTACAAAAGAATGCTTTATCTTCCCAATGTATCAGGAGCTATACCACAGCTGAAAACTGATAATTTACTCCATTAAGGTGTCGTTTTAAGCATTTAAAAGCTCTAAATATTTCACTTTAAGCATGGTGATACTTTCTTTTCTATTGCCCGCCTGGTATTTCCCAAACGCAGTGCATTCTGGGTATATTTAAAAAAAACTACATTACCCATCGTTCTCTACGGTAGTCTAGTTCCTGTAAAAAAAAATGCACACGCACAGAAAATAACATTAAATGCCATGAAGCCCTATTTTTGCAGCCATAACAGATCTTATTCCGGTGTTATTGTTAAAATAAAATGTGTAACTTTACTAAAATAGGTCAGCCAGCCTTCAAAATATCCTTGGGCAAATAGATGTTGATACAATCTTTATTTAAAAAATGGTCATATCTGCCAAATTAAAAAAATGTAAAAAGGAAATTGTAAATTGGTCAAGGAAGTCACCGCAGATGTTTATTCTGCCTGTAATTTGTAAAAATATTGGTATTTTCCAATGTTTTATTACAAATATGAGGCCCCAAGGCAAAACATGCAGTATAATCAATAAGAAGGATCACTTCAAAGCAACTGTCCCTCTAAAGCCCGGAACAAATAACGACTAAACCACAAGTTAGAATTTTGAAGATTTAAAATTTAATTTATGTAACTATGAATTTATGAATCCAGGAGATATGAAGCTCTTTGGGCAACCTCTTCACTGAACACTTTCCTTATTAATTATTGGATAATTTCTTGTCAGAGATAGAATTCACATTAAACAAATTTTTAGAGAATTATGGAATTAATAATATTATATAACAAAATAATATTTAGGCATACATTCTAAAAATAAAAGTATCCTAATAGATCATGGAAATTCTTTAATAACTTTAGAGTGTTTTTAAAATCTAGATTTAATATTGTGAGGAATCTGTCAGGTTTCCTTTTTGCTAGAATTTTAAAACAGCTCATATATATTTCCTGACTAAGCATACTGATTTATTCCATAAGTCCCATATTTGCAGTTCTAAACAAAAACATTATAGCATCAGAAATTGTGCTTACCAGCAGAACTTGTTAAGAAGATTACAATGACAGAAATAACTCAAGTGATTTTGCCAAAAGAGTAATAGTATTTTTTGCTCTTTAAAAAGTGGTAGGATTTAGCTGGTGTAATTTCAGCAGTTGACGGGGAATATTTGCAGTTTTGATTTATATCCAACAAAAAAATTGAATGCCACACATTTTTATAGATATTTTATTAAGTATGTGAATATTAACTCATTTAAATATGCAATAGTTTGTAAAAATACTAAAGCAGTTAGTTTTATTTATCACATAATACACTCACAGGGGCGCAGAAAAAAATTATAAAAGAAAGCATTAGGGGCAATAGTTCACTTTTTGATATTTTGATATTTAATATTTTATATAATATTATTAAGTAAGCCAAAGTGTCACTTGTGGCTCTGGTGTAGCAGGTTGCCAACCTCCGATCTAGTAAATAAAAACTTGTTAAACCATTCTTAAAGAAGATTGTAAAGATAAAAAAAGAAAATCAATCTCGGGGACCAATCTAGTATAGTTTTTGTAGCAATCTATATCATCATATGATTCAAATTTAGTATTATATTTTTCATACAGGAGTCATACCATGGGTCACTTTATTCGCAGAAATACGCAGTGCTCTTATTTTGAAATGCTCACATCCTACGTCATGGCGTTTTGTCAGGGAACTTTATGCGGATGAAGGAGCGAAATAATTGACAATAAACTCCTATCGGGTGCACCGAATAAGTAAAAGCGATATTTCCTCCAGAGAAGCCATTAATAATCAATGATAGACTTCTCAACAGGGGGCGTCGTGTGAACCCTTCCAGTCGCTGACAGACGTCTGTTATCGAAGAAATGGAGCATATCCGAACGCCCAAGGTAGCTAACATTTCTCGCTATTTTCAGTTGGAGGGAATAGAGCCAGCTATCAAGGCCCTGTCTTTATGGTTTGTTTGCAGAGCCTGGATGTCGCTACAGTCAGCATTGGGTCGATGTTAAATGGAAAGTGTTTGCTTTCAGCTGTTGAAAGTGTGATGCTAGCAGGTGTAGCTCAGCAGCTCCAGATGACAGACAGGACGAGCATCAATTACCTGCTTGTTTGTTTTCTTTCCGCATAGCAAATCATCAGACAGCCACTCTACAGTGTTACAGAGATTTGTTATTGATTTAGCTAATGCCCATCTGTGAAGTCACTCTGGATCTAATGAGATAGAGATCAAGAGGAAAATAGAGGTTGGAGTGTGATAGTGACAGACTATCAGATGGGCCTTTATGACAGGCAGTTCAGCAGGTATCTGATTACCTGTAGGTGAAGCTAAAGCTAAGATTTACTTTCCTTAGTTTTTGCACATCAAAAAAAAAAAAAAAAAAAATTGTTGAAACACCTTTGTTTATAGATGTTGGAGATCGGCTTGTTTTTCAGTGTAGTCCTGTTTCTCTGACTGTGACTGTGCTCTCTTCATCCTCTGACTCATCTGCCTGGCTGTATGTTTCCTGGACGGGGCCTCCTTTTAGAGTTGGTTTTTGTATCTTTGCTTCTGTCTCCTTGAACCCCAGTCGGCCTCGGCAGATGGCCGCTCACACTGAGTCTGGTTCTGCTGGAAGTTTCTTCCTGTTAAAAGGGAGTTTTTCCTCTCCACTGTCGCTACAAGCATGCTTAGTGTAAGGGATTGCATTCAAGTCAATGAGTCGATACATTCAACTGGTTTTTCCTTAAATAGAAAACTTTGAACCAATCTGACTGTGTGATCTGGCATGATTGTATCAGTAAAGTGCCTTGATGACATGTGTTGTGAATTAACGCTATATAAATAAACTGAATTGAAATTCAACTGAAATTGAGTTTATTTATATAGCACCAATTCACAACTATGTCATCTCAAGGCACTTTACAATTCTACCAGATCATGCAGTCAATTGATTCAAAGTTTTCTAAGGAAAACCAGTTGAAGCCAATACATCACACTAAGCTTTCTTGTATCGACAGTGGAGAGGAAAAACTCCCTTTTAACAGGAAGAAACCTCCAGCAGAACCAGGCTGAGAAATTATGACTAATCAATAACTTAAAGAAGATAAACTCAGACTCAGAACCTGAGGTATAAACAGGTTGTAAAGTCTAACTTTGACATATATGTCTAGCTGAAAAGATATTGGTAACATAGCAGGTGATTTTGTTTGATTTCAGTTTTGTATATGTTAGAGCCTGACAAAAAAAAAACAAAACACAAATTCACTAGCTCCCCTTTCTAGAAAGTGACACAAGTTGCTTCATAACAGAAAAAATTGCCCCACGCATATTGAATCTGATAGTTAGCAAGTTTTTTTTTTTTTTTTTTTACATGCAGCTTTTTCTAGATATGCACCAATCAGACTTTTACACCTTCCACTTCTTAGTACCAAGTGTTCCATTTTTATATTTTTATTCAAATTCACTACAGTGCCAAAATAAGGGTGTTTGTATGAGAAAGGTAGAACATTTGAATGCCACGGAAGGAGTTGCAAAATACTCCATTTTATGGATCCAAATCTTTCGCCCCCATATTTATAGTTAATAATTACAGAGGAAGAATATAATAGTCATTTATACCAGGAGGCACAAACGTAAATAAGTACCATTTTCGGTTAATCTTTCATTTTATAAGGTGCATGGAAGTGCATTTTGTTGTTCCCATATTTATATGAGTGAGGATTGTGAAAATTAAGTCTTCTATTAGAACCAATCCAAGAAATAGTCTCCATCTGATTAACTGGAATCTTCTTTTTTCTTTTTTTCGGTTTAACATGTAAGGTAAGGAAGAAGCGATTTGTTTTAATTCAATTTTAGATTTCATTGTAAAGGTTATAGTTTGGTAGTTTTATTCTCTACATTTGAAGCCAGTTAAGGGCTGAATAGAAGACGTGGCGAATAAAAAGTGCCTGGATTATTATGAGGGATTATTATGAGGGTGGGGTCACCTGCAGACAAGGTGTGTCATAAGTGTGACTTGTTCTCTCAGGTGTTTGTAGATCCAGAAAAGCTATGACGAAAGCTCAAATTGTTAAGAAACTTTGTGTTAAATCAACATTAAACATTTTCTATTACGGTATCCTCAAAACGTTGTTTTTATAAATAACAAGTGACAGCAATTATCTTCTTTTTTTCTTTCTATCAGGCTATACCTTTGCTGAAAACATCCCAGAATTCCTGTATGTTCTGATAGGCTGTTTTATGACAAAACTCTGACCCTGGGGTCGCTGAGAGAGGGTCAGTCTCCGTTACGACATCCTATCAGTGAACAGCAGCTTAGCAGCTGGAAGGAAGAGGATGTCTGAGTCAACACTTGCAGGATTAATGTGGTTTATCAGTGTTTTGGACATTTAACAGCAACGGTTAAAAGACCAAGAATCACAAACACCATTTTAACTTTTGTTCAAACAGCAAACAGACCTTTCTTTACCAGTATTTTAAAAATGTTGCTTATATGTAATGCAATAAATAACATCCATTCTTTTCTTTTTGGATTTTTCTATAAATAAAAACAAATGGGCAATCTTCCTATTAACTTGAATGGTTTCTGGTTACAGTTTCCCTCTACAGTAGCTTTTTAAGTCCTTTAACTCTATTACAAAAAAATCTAGGAGCCAAACAAAAAACCCAGATGGTCACTGTTATATAATGGGCCTGCTAGAATCAGTGCCAAATGCTACCTTCCTTTAATATCTTTAATATCTTTTCCCAGTTGTCATTCCCATGGCTCATCTTTAGGGCTGATGCAACATTCAGCCAAAGGAGCAAACTGTCCTGCTAAAGGCTCATCAATTAGTCCCTCATTAGTATTGTCTTTGCAGGTGGAGCAGGTGCGGCTGGTGGATCGTTTTAGCAACAAATCCACAAACGGGACACTGTACCTCACAGCTACGCATCTCATTTTTGTGGAAAGCAGCTCTAACAACTCCTCTTCTGCTGGACAGGAGATCTGGGTGAGTAGGTGGAGTGCCAAGGCGTCTGCTCGTCATGTTTTTCTGGTTATGATTTGATAGGGAAAAACACTGGAATGACAAACAATAATAACAGGCTTCATGTGAGCAGAGAAGGACAAGACATAAAGATTCCACTCTTCCTAACGGCGTTTCACTCATGTTTTTTCACACAACATGCAATCTTAAATAAATAAATAAATCAGAAAAGGAGCCACATCTTTTTTACTTCTGTTTTCCCTCTAAAATTCTACATCAGATGCAAGTGCAGAAAAAAAATGAACAGTTCCAGAACGTGAGATGATAGAAAGCACCACAATTGTAGTCTTATCCTGTCTTGCCAGATATTAAAGACACTCATGAAATAATGAGAACTCCTATTTCTTGATATGAACCTGCATTTAGCCTGCTAATTAACTCCAGTTACTTTGCAATTTATTATTAATGCAGTCTCCAGATGGAAGGATAGGTATATTGTTAAATCTAATATAAGGTTCTAACTGCAGCTCTTATAGCCCTTTTATATATCAAGGTATTGATTAATCAAATTCTCAACTAATTCTTTAGTTGCAGTCAAAGTACCTAGTTTAGTGAAACTAGAGTATCCTGGAGGCATTATCTCTCCTTAGCAGAGACTTTAGAGTGAAAAGTAAGGAGTGAAAAGTGGGCAAAGCTGTGAGCGGTTATCAGGAAGAGGAAGAGTGCTGTGAGGTCTGGATTCAGTGTCTGAGGCAGCTGATTTTCTTTATGTTGTAACAGGAAGAACTTCAGCAGTGTCAGGGTTTAAAGAGGCATAAAGGAAATAAAACGCAGTAAGGAAATTAGCTTTGTTTATTAGGTTAGAGCAATTATCTAACAGGATATTTGGAGTCTATCACTCTTTAATTGCATTGAACTTAAGCACATTTTAAAGCCCTCCACTATTATTATTATTTGCACTGAAACAATTAATCTGATTAATCGTGATCAATCGATTATTGAAATATTTGTCAGCTAATTTAGTAATCGATTAATTGTTAACTGGAGTATTGAGACTCTAAAACATGCCTTTAGCTTACAGAGCAACAGTAATCATATCAAAATTGTATATTAATAAGTAGTACATATTTTATCTTTATGATAAAAAAAAAAAAAAAATTCCGTCTGTCAATATGCTCTATCTAGAACACCTCAAGTTTCACCTGGTTTAATTTGTAAAATTCTTATTTAAGGAACATTTGGCTATCTGATTATTAACCGATTAATAAAAAAATAATCGACAGATTAATCGATTTGTGAAATATTCATTAGTTATAGCCCTATTTTGCAGTTGGCCTTAATATTTGTAATATGATAATTTAAGAAGCAGAAACACTGTTGAGCGTTTTAGATCTTTTACCTCATTTTCAACCTTATTTCCTTCCTATTCTGTTGTGAAAAGGAAACCTGCTTTATTTTTTGTAATAGTATCAACCATATCTGTCCCTTCTTGTCTGCAGCTTCCTGTTTTTTTCAGATATAAAATGCTGTTTATGAGAGCGCTGTCAGAAGTCATTTTGTTATCATTCTGTTGGGTCTAGAGAGATTTTATCAGGTTTTAATTGGAGCCTCATGCAATATTAAACACCACACAAGTGAATGCCTTAACAGCTGGTGCCATCAGCATTTAGACTATGCAAGTGTGTGTCTTTTCTGTTTATCTCAGTGTCCTTTATATATCATTACCTAATCTTATGAGTCTGTGGCTGTGGGACACAAACTGAGCTTAGCCATATATTCTGCTGAATAAAAGAGTTCAACATTGCATGTTTAAATAAGGTACATTTCATAACTATTAGAGATTTCCTCCTGATGATATACCGAACTTCTTGCACAGACTGATTCTGAAAACGATCTCCCTTCTTTTCCCCCATTTTTCTCTGCAGATTCTGCACCACCATATAGCCTCAGTGGAGAAGCAGAGCCTGACCACCACCGGCTGCCCGCTGGTCATCCACTGTCGGAACTTCAGGGTGGTTCATTTCGTGCTGCAGAGGGAAAGAGACTGCCATGACATCTATAGCTCACTGCTTCGTCTCCTGAGACCAGGTGATTCCACCATCCTGTTTCCTGTTTTTTTTTTTGTAGTCATCAATTCTCACCACTGATGCAAACACATCTTTATTTCTAGCTGAATCTGATTTAATCCAAAAAACAGTTTTAGGGTACTTTTTCCTTTGTTTATCTATTCAAGGGAATAGGCTACCCAGACTTTTCTGAACCTATGTAAAAATATTTTTTTTTCTAGTGGCTAATAGCTGAAATAAATCGGATTAACCGCATGTTTTGGTTCGGCTTCACTGGATCTAAAGCTGCTCCAGAGCTGCTTTGCTGCTCTTTCAGTTGCTGGGTAACTTGCCATAACAAATAGAAACATGAATTCTGCTTATTGCCAGAAAAACCCGAAGACCTTCGGTTTATGACCAAAGGTCAAACACACTTTTTTATTACAGGATAATGACCCAAAATACACCTAAAAATCCACTTTTCAATGGTTTGGAAAACCTAGATTGAAAAAAAAGGTCTTATTGCTTAAGAAATGAAATTGATATTAAAAATATAATGTTTGTCTTTATCTAACATGGAAATGCATTTGATAACTTGATATATTTAACTGTGACAAAAACAGAATAAACCCTTTATGGGCCTTATTCTTCTATATATCACTGCAACGGTGGATAATAACCATCATAAATTTGTAATAACTAAAATCATTGAGTTTAAAGTGGAACAAGATGGAAATAAAATGGTGGTGGTAGTAAATGTATAAAAAAACTTTGCTCCCATCCATCATAAAAAAACCACATACAGCTGAAGTAATTCAAACTATATTCTAGGGTCTTTTTCTACAATAAATTGCTACCCTGATGGAAATAATGAGAGTGGAAAACAATAAAAAACAAAGAAGTTATCTGCGCTGGAAATGCCCTTTAACTCTACACACCTACTGGAAATTGAGGCTTTTTTTCCCCCCATTCTGTTCTTCTTGTCACAGTATACTACGAAGAACTCTACGCCTTCTCCTACAACCCCAAGCAGAATGATCAGCAGAGAGAAGAAGGCTGGCAGCTCATCGACCTGGGGGCAGAGTTTGAGAGAATGGGTGTCCCCAATGACCAATGGCAGCACACCGACGTCAACAGAGAGTATAAGGTAGACCATTAACTACAGTAATAAAAGTCTTGTATTTTCTGTTACTAAGTTTTTAAGACAACTTGACACATTTACCCAATATATACTGCAGCATCAGCTGAACAGTAGAATGCCTCGCTATGTGCCATCTTCATTATCTTTGGAAGGTCAAACTTAGGACCCTATACTACAAGCTGTTCTGCTTTGTGTATTAATCTGCAGGGCTCATTGTTAGGGGAGTGATGCAAATATAATATTAAATCGCATAGAGGAGAACAAGTAGTTTATGTGGCACTATTTTGAGCCCTTATACCATCTCTGAGCTATAAAACTTCTCATTCCATAAAGAAACAATAGACTTTGGACTTAGATCACATGCTAACCATAAAGTAGTTTCCAGCTACCTGTTTACTTATGCTATAGTAAAGCTGTGGTTTATGGTGTTGCTTTTTTTTTTTAAATAACATATTTTTATTTTATAATATGTTGAGAACTTTGTTTTCAGGGTGTTTAGTAAAATGTATCTTTTGCATCATTTGCAAAATAGCACTGGATTTAAAATGTTTTTGCATATTTGAAAGCTTGTACCTTTGTTGTCCACTAGAGTGCGCCTATTCTCTTCTTTGGGTCTTGCTTTCTTTAGCAGTGATAGGATTTTGCTCACTGTACATGTTTGCTTATAGTTTTATGGATATTTAAACACATGTACACTTTGCTTTGGGTTTTCTAGGTGTGTGAGACGTATCCACGGGATCTGTACGTTCCCATTACAGCCAGTAAGCCCATCATTGTTGGTAGCTCCAAGTTCCGAAGCAAAGGACGCTTCCCTGTGCTCACATACTTCTACCAAGAAAAGAAGGTACTTAAGGCTTTAAGAAATTGGTCCTAAAGTTTGGAAAAATAATTGTTTTAAAAATACTTATACAGTAAAAGAGGAAAATAAATGTCTCCTTTAAATTTAAGGAAGAACCAAATTATTATCATACTGAATAAGAGGAGTTTAGGTAGACTGGTCAGATCTTTCCCTGCTGATACTAATCTCCAGGCTCTATAGGTTCAGATTAATTGAAGGCCTTTTTTACACGAAACAGAAAAAACAATAAAAAGCTAGTTTCTTGATTGAAGTAGTTGTTAAAGATAGATTAAAGGACGAAATACATGAATGCCCCTGTTTATATACCCAAATATATGTAGCTTACTCTTGTCTTATGTTTATTCAACGCCAAAATGCACCAAAGCCAATAAAAGTGGCCCTCCTTTTAGAGTTATAGATTGAAGCATCAGTTGATTTTTCTCACTAAGGCCTTTTTTTTATGATTTTCCCTCTTTCTTATATTTCCTCTGGGTTGCTTAAGTGAGTGGGAGTGAGGGCATTCCAATCACATAGACAAATGAATGTATTTTATTAATGAAACAATAACAATATTTTGTTGGAAGTACTTTTTTAATTATCCATAGCCTACTTCCTAAATTAGTTTGCCTGTCAAAAATGGTTAATAACAAAAAAATACATTTCAATCAAGAATCTTGTGATGATAATTTGATGATCACTTAAATTTTCTGTATGAAAAACCAGATTTTCTGATTTATTAGGATGTCAGAACAGTTGAAAGACTGTTAGAACTGTTAGAAGCTGCTAGAATTGATCTAAGAAAACTACCTTTAATTGTTAAATATCTGCTGTTTAATGTTATACAAGGACTTTAAACAACAGGTAATTCATAAAAAATGTGACTAAAGTCTTTTCCGCTGTTGTGTGAACTGTGTGACAGGCAGCAGTGTGTCGCTGCAGTCAGCCTCTGTCTGGGTTCAGTGCACGATGCCTGGAGGATGAGAGCATGCTGCAGGCCATCAGCAAGGCCAATCACAACAGCCGGTTTGTTTACGTCATGGACACAAGGCCGAAGGTGAGGAAGCGGGAGCATCATGGGGATCCTTCTCTGGTTAAATCGCGATGCTAATGTGAACATTTTTAAAAAAAATCAGTTTTTCTTTCTGGAGGTAATTTTGAATCAAAACTATTTGTGCATTGTAAGTTTGAATTTAAAGTTGCAGAGAGAGTTATATTATTAAGTTTTCTAATTCTAAAACAAAAATAAGGAATTTACAAATACACCTTTATTTTCTTTTTACACCTGTTGAGATGTTAAGTACAAGTTCACAAATTGTGTTCCAGAAGTTGCACATCACAAACCTCTTACATTCTCAGTTTTACTCTAAATGGTCCAGAACGTAAGTTGCAAAAGTATTTGTGCATTGTAACTTTTGTGTTTTGTAATCGTAGATATTTTTTCTGTCACAATTACAAAAAAACGTACACCTCTTCAAATCCTTCAGTGCAAGCACACAGATTGTGATCTAAGTTGCACATCAAAAATGTCTTAAGATTTGCTCAAGTTGATCTGCAACAAAGTTTCTTTTTTTTAAATATATTTTTTCCTTAACACAAATACAACCCAATGAAGACAACTGTACAAATCTGCAGCTGTGAGTTCCAAATTCTACTTACAAGTTACATCTTCCTTTTCACTTTTGCTCCAAATTTCACACCGGTATTATTGATGCGTGACATGTAGGGGTGTAAATCACATCCATCATGGCGATTCGATTCAGTATCGATTTCCTGACCAAACGATTCGATTATTTTCGATACTCAAGAATACACCACGATGCGATTCGATTAATCGGTTAATTTTTTTATTTAATTTTTTTTAATCTTACAGGCTAAACAAAGTTTCAAGTTTGAAATAAATCAATGAAAGCTGTAATATCGTTATGCATTTTTTTTTTTTTAGAAACAACAGCAAATAACAGAAGTAGAAAAGTTGCATCAAAAAATACTGCAAAAATACTGCACATAATCAGTGCAATGAGCGCAATGCAATACCTCGGCTCTGCTGCACCTCGCCGACCGCAAACAGTGCCGCAGACAGGAGGCCGGTTTGTTTTGTTTTTATGACCGAAATTGCAGAAAACAACTCGTGAAGTTTGACCCGCTAGAAGAGTGAGGTGCGCGAGAATGCTGGGACCCTTTTTCCAACTGGATCTCCGCTCTTTTTGGCCCTCATGTCCCTCCGTCGTCGGACTAAACTCGCCCCCACTTCCTCGCCGCCTCGGCCGTATCTAGACCCACAGCGGGTAGCACAGACCACGCTTCAATATTGAGCATAATTTAAAAATGTCTGTGTCAAGCTTACTGCAACACACTGCTGTAAGAGTATACCCAGGAAGCGAGGTAGGAGGGCAAAATAGTTTTAGCGCCACCGCAGCACGGGAGGGAGAATTACGCCCAGGAGCAAATGGATAAAAATAGACCGGTGGGGAAAAAAAACATGAATCGATTATCTTGCGGACGTGTCGATGCATCGGATCGTCGGCTGTTGGATCGATGCATCGATACAAAATGATTATTATTTACACCCCTAGTGACATGTGGTAGTACCCTTGGTCGTACTTAGACTTAGACAGACTTTATTGTCATTTTGTACACACAGAGTGTATACAAAAAGAAACTTCGTTCAGTACAGCTCTCAAGACATTTTCATTTTTAAAGTGCAGCAGTGATAAATGTAAAAATACGACTGTATTTAATTTACTGTTTCCAACATTCAGGTTTTTTTTTATATTTTTTTTTTAATAAATCCCATTTTATACAACATTCAACAGAATAATGGTAGTGGGGAAGAAACTCAGCTACAGCAGAGGGCGCTGCCTGCTCGGTCAGTCTACCAACTGGAAATATGAAATGACCTACTACTATGTTGCCTTCCAAGGACTCAGTCTCAGCCATTGATATTTATTGTATTTTAACATGTTCCACATGTTTATCAGTAGTTTTTCTTGATAACTAACGACTTTAACTTAATAGCACTGGTGTCTTACTTCCTCCATTACGAACAAATAAATGTACATCTTCCAGGTAGGAAGAGTAAACGATCATCAATGTCAGATTTTTTTCCGTCAATAATCTCCGAAGGGAATGATAAAAACGTGCGCATAATTTTACCATTTCATCTGACGTTTAATGTAAAAAAAATAAATAAATAAATATAAATGGCTGCGTCCTTCGAAGGTCTACTTGGGCTGGGTCCTTGGAAGGCAACATGGCAGTAGGCCATATAATTATGTCCGATTGGTACAGACTGACCGAGCAGGTCGATGTAAGTCTCTCTGCAATTTCAAATCAACATACCGGTATACAATGCACAAATAATTTTGATTCAAAATTACCTTCACAGTTCTTTCTGCTGAAACGGTTTATATCAGGTTAAAGAGTTGATGAACAGCAGCGGATTTAATTTGATTTCCATTCCCCATTTGTTTTCCTTCAGCTGAATGCGCTGGCTAACCGTGCTGCAGGCAAAGGTTACGAGAACGAAGACAACTACTCCAACATCCGCTTTCAGTTTGTCGGGATTGAAAATATCCACGTCATGCGGTCAAGCCTGCAAAAGCTACTGGAAGGTCAGAGAGCTGCTGCAAACACATCCGAACATTTAATTTATGGATATTCTAATTAAATATCTGTCTCTCTTTCTCAGTTACTGGGACTCGGTCTCTAACCATGAGCGACTACCTGGGGGGACTAGAAAGCAGCGGCTGGCTGCGACATATCAAGGCTGTAGTAGATGCAGCTGTGTTTCTGACAAAGGTAGCTGTTAGTCTTTTCATAAATATTGCCCTTTTTCTACCAGACCATCGTACTAAACCTAATTTCTCTGACCCAGGCAGTGACAGTGGAAGGGGCCAGTGTGTTGGTCCATTGCTCGGATGGATGGGACAGAACAGCCCAGGTTTGTGCCCTGGGGTCGCTGCTGATGGACCCCTACTATCGCACCATCAAGGGCTTTATGGTATGTTGTGCATATCAGTTTAGATCAGTTTTATGGGAGTGATTTGCTTCTGTTTCAAACTATAATTTTGTGCTCATTTGTCTTTCAGGTACTGATAGAGAAAGACTGGATTTCCTTTGGTCACAAGTTTGCAGACAGGTAAAGGTTAACTTTACATGGAAATCAAATTCAAATCTTTACCGTTCAGGATAAGCGCTCAGTATTTCCTTATTCTATTTTTAGGAAGGTTGGGTTGAGTACATTACCAGACTCATCTTTAGGTTTCCTCTTTACTCTTTGGGATGTTTATTATTTATTACACACTAGGGTTGTTTCCATAATAAAATGTCAAATTAGATTTCCATACTAGATACCATTTAGATACAATTGGGATAAAAAAGATCAATTTTTATTTATTTAAAAGGGGCAGTGCATATTTATTAACATTTAAATTTAAATTGCCAGAATTAGACTGAATACTAATTTACATCTGTAGTTTCATAATTAAACATGAATCGTTTACTTTTTGCATTTTCACCATGTAACATGCTGTCTTAACCGAATCAGAGAGGGTAGCGAAATAAGTGTGCAAAGGATTGCAAAATAAATAACCCAAACAAAACACAATTTCACAATATTTTAAGGTTGTCTGAAGAATTACTCTTTTATATGCAAATAATCAATTGCAAACATATGCAACGAACACTTGTTATTAATAAATTCAGAATTAACATTCCAAATTAGTATTGTACCCAGATACAATGTTTTGAGTGTTGATACCCTCTGTGGATTCATTATTAAACTACACAGCAGACAGGGTCACAGCAAACTTCTATGTTTACTCCTCAATCTCTAACCTAAAACATCTGATCGCTCATTACACTTTTTTGTCTTTAACGGTCTAAAAAAAAAAGTAAGTGACAAAATTTTGGTCTCTTAATGTGGTTCATAACCTCTATGTTGGTTTGATCCAATTCGCCCCTTTCTTTACAGTCTGAATGCCAATGTGGACATATAGGGGAGCTTCATCTCCTCACTGACACAGTGATGGATACTTTTCTCCCTCTCAGCATAAACTGCATCAAATGTTGTATAAAACAGCATAATATCAAACTACGACTGCCTGTCGGCAACAGCAACATTCAGTTACACTGAAGCTCTCCAAGATGACTAAATACAGCATTCACTATTTGTGAACTAAACCTTGTGGTTAATATAAATGCTAAACAAAAACAGGTCATCATCATTAGATATTATTCCATTAATAAGTATGATTCTGTATTTCAAGGTGTGACCAGTTGGACGGGGATCCGAAGGAAGTATCTCCCATCTTCACTCAGTTTCTTGAGTGTGTCTGGCAGCTGACTGAGCAGTTCCCGCAGGTACGTTGGGATGCGACAGAATAAAAGATTTGCTTTAAGCCTTATTTATCCAGTGTGCTTGATTGTCTTTTGATGACCCTCTCATAAGGCTTTCGAGTACAGTGAATGGTTCCTGCTGCAGATCCATGAACACGTTCACTCTTGTCAGTATGGGAACTTCTTAGGGAACAACCAGAGGCAGAGAGAGGAGTTACAGTAAGTAAAACGCTGACTTTTGGACGTTTGGAGAAAAAAAAACTGCTCTGCTCCCATTTGTTGAAAGCCACTCTACCACTTTGTCTCTTTTCAATTGTTCATATTAGATGTTCTTATGATTGTTTGAATCGTCACTCTGTGTTTTAGGCTTCGAGAGCGAACTCACTCACTCTGGGCCTTCCTCATGAGCGAAAAGCAGAACTACCTGAATCCGTTCTACAGGCCTTCATACTCTGAGGCCCATCCAGTGCTGGAGCCCTCCACCTTGCCTTACCATTTCAAGTCAGTACAGGATACCCTGCACTTTAATACGTCTGCAAAATGTTTTCACCACATTTTTTTTTAAATCCTGTGCTCCTCAGGTTCTGGAGGAACATGTACCACCAGTTTGATCGGTCCATGCATCCACGGCAATCCATCCTTAAAACCATTCTGACTTTGAAGGAGAATACACGCAGCGCAGAGAGCACGCTGCAAGCACTACAGACTGTGAGTTAAAGTTTCTTTCTGTCTCACTGTGCTTCTTTCTTTGCTTCTGATTGAAAGAAAGATTTCAAGAAAGTATTGACCCTCCATATTTGTTAATACAGGGTTTCCGCGTGTTATTAAAAATCATTAAATGTCATTAAATTATTATTTTTTAAATCAAGGCCTTAATTGTCATTAAAATTCATTAAATTAGATCATAGGGGCATTTAAAATGCTTTATTCAAAAAAAAAAAAGTTCGTAAAACAATTTCCTCCGATATATCAGATAACTGGTTCCAAGTGCGCGGAACTGCTTCCAGTTGATTGTAAAGCCATATGTTCGGAAAGGCGGAGAAAAAGCTAGAGAATGGGAAAATGCAAATTTCAACAAAAGTGGTTGGAAAACGAGGAATTCGGAACATGGCTGCGGCATGTCGACGGTAAAGTTGACGAGGGATTTTGCTATGTTTTATATGTTTATTTATATATATATACAATTTTATTTTATTTTTTTTATTGTATCATCTTTAGTTTGCTCGCTAGTGGGGACGTGATCCACATTTATTAATTCCCTGCCTCAACTTTCATTTATGTCACCGGCTGCACTGAATGTCTTATTGTGTAAGTTAACGTGTTATTTGTTTTATTCAAACGACACGTTTTATTCAAACATTCATGCCTTTTGTTAGGTGACCTTCTGATATATGAATACAGTAAACGCATGAAGGGTTTTCTCTTGTCAGTACAGGGGTGGAGGGAAACCAAAGTTGTCTTTGTTTCTATACTTTGCATAATTTTGCATCATTGCCTCCAGGCTGATGTGAACTCTAACGCTCCCATTATAATTTTGAACCCTGAGTCCTTTATTTTCGGAGCTACTTCTGTGCTTTTCATTCTCCACAATAAAGCTCAAATAACAATGTAGAAGAAGATTAACAACTTAACGGGACGTTATTTTATTTACCTGTTAATTTAAGATGTACTGTGAGAACAGGCGACACCATTTGCACTCATTTTAAAGGTGATAAATCATTGAATAAATGTAATAAACTTAATAGTTAATATTTCAATAAATATGTTCCAATGTTAGTCAGATATTCCTCGTTTTATGTTCCTGCAAATCATTATCATGGTTTAGGGATGTTAAGGCAGGATTATTGTGATTTTGTTTCTACCAAAGCTTAATGTAATGTGTTCTCCAGTATTTCTAAATTTAATATTGAATCAGACCCCATGTTATTAAATGGCTTGATCCCAAGGTTATTAGATCCACTATTGTATGTATATTTTATAGTGTAGTATGTTGGAGCAGCAGCTCTGCAGCTGAAAAGCTCATCAGGAGGGTGGGCTCAGTTCTAGGAATCCCACTGGACAGACTGCATGTGGTGGGAAACAGAAGGAGTGACAGACTTAATGCATCCTGGTAAAACAAAGGACCACTTCAGCAGATCCTTGTTTCCATCTTCTGTTAGACTTTATGATCCTTACTGCTGCTGACAGGCACAGTAAGTGTTTACAAAGGGTTAGGTTTAACTCTTCACTGTTTCAGAAACACTTAATACATACATCAACAGATGTCAAGAAACACTGATGATAATCATAATTGTTCTGCATTTCTGATTTCATAGATTTTCACATTTTTCTGTTAACAAGCTGTTTTTTTTTAACACTCCTTATTCCTTTTTACTTGTTAAAGCCTTTTCTTACCTGCCAGTTGAGCTAAAAATATATATGGTGTCTATATAGGGTGAATTAAATGCATTTTTATTCCCATCTATTCATTCAGAGGCTCCAACAGCTTGGTGTGACCCCCATTGCAACCTCTGACCCCCCTGCACCTCCTCCAACCAGAGATCAGTGCACCAACCCCCTGCCGCCGCGGCCCGACTCCCTCATTCTAGGCGCTCCTATCAACCACAAAGAGGTGCAGCGCCGCGAGGTGGAGGATGACCAGGACGAAGTGGGCGAGGAGGCCATGGAAAGTACAGACACCGAGCGGACAGTAGAGGGCAGCAGCGGTACCGAGAGCCGGAAGCAGAGCTACGGAGAACTGGAAGGGACATGCAACGGTGAACTTGCCAAAGAAGAGCCAGCTGTTGTCAGCCTGGAGCTTGGAGTGGCACGAATGACCTGTTGAAGCCAAAGAGGGAGGGTTTCTGGACAGACCGACTGGTGTGGATGACTGGCCAGAGTTTACTGAATGTGTGTATGTGTATGGGTATGTGTGGACAGCAAGCTGTCATTTTGTTTATGATTTGGCTTTGATTACATAAATGGTCCTCAAAGGGCTGAATGGCTGATTGTTTCTGTACAGTTTAAATCTCAGTGGAAGGCCTCATAAATATGTCATATAATGCAACTACCGTTAAAAAAGCTTGTTCTTTTTTTTAAGAATGTTGTAAAGCCCCCAAGTAAAAAAAAAAATAAATAAGAGAGAGAAAATAAATTCATTCAAATCCTAAACGGCTTGTAATTTGTTCATTTATGTCCAGCATGTTTTTAGAAACATGGCCTAGATATAACGGCTGTTTATACTGGTTAAAACAGCAGATCAAAGTGTTTGGCTCAGAGAAGATTTAATTTAATTTTAAGGCAAGAGGCCAAACTAATCTGCTGCTGTTGATCTGAATTTCCTCTGATCTGACCGGGAGTAAAAAAAAAAGATTTAAAAATGTAGAAGATGAAGGATAACACAATATTTCAGGCACTAGAAACTTAGTTCCAATTGTTTTGTGCACTCTCAGATGTCTCAAATGGTATTTATAAAACTCTTTCCTTTGGGGAAGAAAAACGCAGACATGAATTACAGATATCTATATTACTCTAGCAGATTCTTTGATAGATGAAATATTTATTTAGCTAAAACTTATAACACCTAATGTGTTTTTTTTTTTTCATACATGATTTCCTACAAACATGGATAAATGCAACTATTAGACATTAAGGATAAAGGTTTGGAAATGTTTTTTTCTTAATGATTAACTAGAGCTTTTAATACGGTGTATAAAAAACCTCTGGTTAATTAAGAAAATGTTTCCAAACTTTTATACTAAATCTCTAAACGTTGCATTTAAAGCTTGAGAGACTCAAAGAGAAAATTTGCTATTAGAAAAGTTTTATTCAATTTATTTATACAGGTAAGAAAGATTGGTTAATATTTTTCTATCTAAAACCAGGCGATTGTGAGGACTCATTGATTTTCTGCAATCCCTCGCACTGAGCATGCATGTAGTGACAGTAGAGGGGAAAACTCTCTTTTAACAGGAAGAAGCCTTCAGCAGAACAAGGCTCTGTTCGAGCAGCCATCTGCTGAGGCTAACTGGGGTTTGAGGAGATGGAAGCAGGTATGCAGATGAATGGAATAAGATCTTTGGCGCTCGGGCCCCAGCAGAAGACTTTGATGCTGAAAATCAACATTTGCTCAGATGAATAACCTTGGAAAAAGATTATAGTCGTCTTCCCCGGGGCCCTGGAGAATGAATAAGCCAGAGGGTGAGTTGAACTGAGCATAGTGCAGAGGAGGGGGAAATAATAATTGAACTTTCTCTCACATTGGAGAAATTGACTTCCTGCTCAGAGACCTAGAGTAGCAGTCTGTGGGAGTGGGGCTCAAACTTAAAACCTCAGGATTCCAAACTCTATGCCCTAACCACTAGGCCACCGCTCCCCGAAGAATGATTCCTTGTGTGTGGGAAAGAAAAGCTGGGCCAGTAGATAAATGAAGGGGATGTTGAAAGATGATTGGCTTGGGAAAAGGTGTGGTACCAACGATGACTGGCAGAAGCTGAATGAGGGACATCACAGGCGGTTCAGGTGAAGCTAAGAGTCTTCCAGATTGAATTTTCTCTTAAGCTTCAATCATCCCTAAATTTATTATCAGACCTCTAACTGTTCATTCTTTCCATATATTACAGGATGTTTGGCACCTGTTTATCTGTCATCTGATCATTTATTTTATACATTTGATCATCACAAACTTTACACACAGGGTGTGTACAAGACGAAATTTCATTCTGTACAGTTCTTAAGATATTCCATCTCTCCATTTCCATCCTTAAAGTGCAGCAGTGATAAAATGTAAACATGGTGATCCAATGTACATATAAGACTGAGATATGATTTACAGATTTTCCAAAAATCTGTTTTATTTATTTTTATTCAACATTCAGCAGTCTAATGGCAGTGGAGAAGAAGCTGTTTTGGAATCTTGCTTCGAAGCCTCTTCCCAGAGGGCAGCAGGGAAAAAAGTCCATGGTGGGGGTGTGAGGGTTCATTGATAATGTTACAGGCTCTGGACATGCATGTCTTTGATGGAGGGAAGAGGAGCCCCGATGATCTCTGCAGTTCTCACTAATCTTCTCACCTTTTTCCAGCCTGAGGAGCTGCAGCCTCCACACCACACAGTGAGACAGATGGTCAGAACGCTCTCTATGGTGCTTCTGTAGAAGGTGGTGAGGATGAGTGAGGGCAAGTGGGCTCTCCTCATCCTCTGCAAGGAGTACATGCACTTTTCTACCCTTTTGACCAGTGAGGTGGTGTTTACATTCCTGGTGAGGTTGTCTGTGATGTGCACCCCCAGGGATTTGGTGCTGCTGACCATCTCTACAGCTGAGCTGAGTTGAGCAGTGGAGTGTGGTTAGGCAGATTTTTCCTCAAGTCCACGATGTCCTTCATTTTCTCCACATTCAGGATCAGGTTGTTGTCTCTGCACCAGCCCACCTCCTCCCTGTAGTCCTGGTCTTTGCTGTCTCTGATGAGGCCCACCACCGTGGTGTCGTCTGCGAACTTCACAATGTGATTGGTGGTGAACCTGGGGACGCAGTCATGTGTCATCTTTCACTTCAATCAATAAACAATCAAGAATATGTCCACCTGTTTCATTTATGCAACCAATCCATTCATCACCTAAAATCTATCCATTTTTTTAAACCTGACATATCTACCATAAAGCTGTGGCAAACTTTTTAGATTCATACATTTTCTTAAAAAAAAAAAATTAAAATTACAATTTATAAAAGGCTTGAATGTGTGTAGAAACACCGTAAATCTGTTCAACTTTATTATCTACATTCATTTCAGCACAGCATGAATCATTTTGTATTGAAATGTTGACTTAAATTCTTGCATTTGCTTCAAATTAGTAAGAAAAGCTGAATATATTTACATATCCTGGATTCAGGGATACAATTTACCTATGTTTTAAAATGACATAAGATTAAATGTTGGAGCTGTGGTCCGATGCAACCATTCTGGTTTATAAAGAAGCCTCAGTAATTTTAGTTTGTTTTGGCTTCGGTTTAATGGCCTTCTTTGTTACTTCCAGACTAATGTAGCTATCTCTTATGGGAGCTCAGACAGGACTAAATATACAGTTCAAGCTTCTTCAATATTGTAGTTTGTAGTCAATTAACACAATATAAAGCTTAAAGGATAAAAAAAAAAGCTGTGTTTTAGCCTCTAAATATTTTATGAGCTTTGTGCAAGCAGCATTTGCAGTGGCCTCGCTCCTCACCTCTTGCTTAATGCCGCCTCCACATGCTGCTGGAATGAACAGAGATCTGTGCTTAGACACAGTAACCACACAGAGTGACATTTAGCATGAGACAATTCCGTTTCTATCGCAAAATAAGGCCATCGTTGTTCATTTGGAAGAAACTTGCACAAAGATATGAGGGTGTGTGTTGTCTGTGTAGATGTTGTTTTGGCTTTCAATAAATGCTTTATGCCATGAAAAGAAATGCCAACAACATATATTCACACAGAATGAAGAATATGAACAGATGAGCTTTATTCTTAAATTTTAGCTACCTTTTTATTTTATTTTAGTTATTTACTTTTTGTGTATTAAATCTTAAGAGATTTTTTTTTCTTACTATAATGCCTGCCTGGGATAATTGATACCAATAGTTCTTATTTCCCTAATCCAGGTTTATTTCTGTTATCCTATTCTCTACTAGAGAGACATATAAATGTTAATAATACCTGCTTTTTTCCTGCAGAAGTCTTGTGCACATTACTCTACATCAAATATTGAGAGGCATCTTCCAGTGACAAGCTGCTGAGAGCTCTCCCAAGGTTTTGCATCATTCAGATGAATGCTGCATGCCATGCGCTCCCTATTACAAACCAAGAATGTTGTATGCAACTTAGTCGTTCCAACATGCTTTGAAAAAGGTCTTTAGAATGTACACATAACTCTGGGCATGCTGGTGGAATTTGTCCACGCTGCCTTTGACATGCTGAGGCCTCTCCCCAGGTCTAATCTCATTTGTATTAGAAGTAATAAGGTGCATTTAGAACAAATGTGATTAGTTTTAATTGTATCTGCTTGCAAGCAAGTGGATGTTTGTGTAGCAAATTGAATCGGCCATTTCGTTAGTCGGTTTTAAACATTTATAGTTGCTTCATTTGAGCACCACTGCTGTTTTGTTTATTCAAAACCCTTCAGCTATTTTTATATCTGTTATGATAATGATAGAATATGAGAGGTAAAAATTTTTTCTTTCAGCTTAAATTTTAAAGCTATCAACTCTATATATGGTGGTACTGTATTTGCCAATCTTAAGAGTTTCCATATTTTGTCAAGTAACAACAACAACCTTAAAAGGGAAAGTTTATTTAATTGATAAATAAAAATTAGCCAAACATAAAAAAGTCAAAGTGACAAATTTTTACACAAATTTTTTTAAGCATGACATATGTTTGCATTTAGTCCCCAGAACAATCTTTTGTTGTCATTCTAAGTGCTGTTTTTTTGGTGCATGTCTATAAGAACTTTCTTATAAACAGATTTTATGTTCATGCTTTGATTCTACGATTTGAATTATTGTCCCAGGCTCGCGTCTTAAAGAGATTTCCTGGTTTTCCATCAAGTCTGAACTGCTAGCTCATCTTCCCTCCTAAAGACATAATTTCCCACAGCACACTGCTGCCACTATCGAGTGACAGTGTGGGAATGGTGTGCTCAGTACAACATGCAGTGTTACTTTTATCCACTTTTTTTCCCCCCAACATGGCTTCCATTAAAAGCCTGATCTGTCCAATGAATGTCTTGTTAAAAGATCCTCTAACCTGAACTTTAGAGCCTTCCTTGTTTAGGTGTTACTTGTTAGTTGTGTCATAGCCTAAATTTTATTTTATTTTTTTCCAGCTTTTATTGTCATTACACTGTCGCAAGTACAGAGCAACGAAATTCACTCTCTGCATTTAACCCATCCCCTTGGGTAGCACTGGGCTGCCATTGTGCACCGCCCAAGGAGCAGTGTGGGATAAGGGTCTCTGGCTCAGGGAGCCAGGGAGGCAGTCTATGGGAGTTGGATTCAAACTCAGAACCTCATG